GAGGAGCTGGTCTCTTAGCATCCAAGCACAAGCTGCCTTAGGCTGAGTTGAGCCTTTGCCTTGTTCCAGTCCTTGCTGATGAAAGAGGCAAATCCCTGTGGTGCTTGGGCAGATCTTCCCAATGTCCAGATTATGCTCTGTTCAGTCATGCTGCTTCTGCTGCTGAACAGATGGGCTGAGGCTGCAATCTCCTCCCTGTCTGCTAGTGAGCCTGCTCTTCTTTCTCCTTCCAAAGCTTCATGTGCTTCTGTGAAGGAAAGAGAGGAGTATTTCACAGCTCAGTGCACAAGCCTGCCTGGTGCTGAATCTTGCTTTCTGTGTTTCCTAGTTGGCACTTGCATTGGTACAAATCCCTGTGAAACTGGGTGGCATGTTGAGTGGAAGGAGGATGAGAAACAGGAAATGCCAGGTGTGAAGTACCAGCTTGATAACAAGGCACTCTCCTGTGTTTCGTGCAGGTGACTGTACCCGGTGAGGTGGTGGATGTGGCCTGTGGAGTTGATCACATGGTAAGCATGGTCAGGTCTTTCACCTAGGAATGCTGCTGGGTCTCAGCACTGCACCAGGGCCATGCAGGGACTTGGTGACAAGCTTCTTGGAAAGGAAAACTCATTTTAGGAAACCAAGTGACTGGGAGCAGTGACAACCATAGCAGTGTCTGGGTGTGTTATCATCCCTGCATCACTGGAATGCTCTGGCCTGGCTGCAGGAAGGAAGCACATTCCCTGAGGAGTGTGGAAATGCAAGGAGTGCTCTGGCTGCTTCCTGATGAGCTCCCAGAGGATCTGAGGCCCAGCCCCACGCTGGTGAGCCCCTCTGTGCCTGAAGATGAAGAGCATCTCCCTTAATGAAGACTGGCATGGGATGAAATCTACAGCACAGGACATTGATATATGGACATTTCCTGTCACCAGCTCTGGAGTGTCAGTGTTGGGCAGAGCCAAACTGTTTCTCAAGGGAAAAGTTGGGTGTTTTTTAATTACTATTATGTGGAAGAGAGGTCATGCTAGGTCTTGAAGCCCAGCACAGCTGTCCTGGGTGGCCACCCTCAGCTGCACTGTGCTCAGGCTGTTGTCCTGTGCAGAAACTGGATGCACAGCCCTTGCCTGGAGGCAGTGATGTATCTCTGGGCTGTTGAAGGCTTTCTGTGTTAGTGCTAAAGACTGAACACCAAAGGAACACATTCAAAGAGTGAGAACCTATTTGCAGGGGTAAGTACTATCAAATAAGACAGCAGGCTCTCTGTGCTACAGGAGAACAGATGGATGGTGACAGCAGCCAATGTAGCTTATTGAGGGGGGCTGGAAACAAAGCCCCTGATCAGCTGCCTGCAAAATCAGTGCTCAGGCGTGGATGTGAGCAGTGCTCACTGCCCCTCAGGTACCTTTTTATCCTTTTGCTGATCACACATCACCATCTTTAATATTTTTTTTTGATTTCCTACACCCTTTCTGTTTGCAGAGGTGTGGCTCTCAGTTGCAGTTAGCTGGGGATTTCAGGGTTGCCTAGCAGGGGAAGGAATCTTAATGGGTAAGAAGCAGAGCTTCATTCCTTGGTGCCTTCGTAGCAGTAAGGTGATAGAGATGGGATGCAACAGCTGTGTGTTTCTGTGTTTCTCACTTACCCAGTCTCACACCCCATGTGGGAAACTGCCTCCTGTGAAACACTCCAAACATCAGGCAGAGTTGTGTCTTTTCTCTCTGTGTGGGATACTTGTAGTGTGCAAACTATTTTGTGGAATCCAAGCTAGTAGATTTTTAATAAAGTGATTATAAAATCTTTATCAGTAGTAATAGGAATGTTCTTGAGCATGATCTGCTCATGCATTGGTTGGATCTACATTTGAACTGCAGCATTTTGGTTCAGTTACGTGACAGGAAACCACTTCTGTCAGCTGAGCCAGTTCCATACCTGCAGGATTTATAGGGTTGTAGTCAGGCATTGCAGCCATGGCCCCATGGCACACCACATATATTGGCTTCATTAGATGGAATTCTGTACCAAAACTCGGTGTGTACACTTTACCTTGATTAAATAAGTTTTGAAGGGTTTGCATAAAATATAGGAAAGGTGAACCAAAGGACATGGAAATAGAGACACATCTCTTGAGTTGTTGTTGATGTTCCTGTGTAACAGGTATTGCTGGGTGGGTGAGGCAGAACAGAAAGCTGCTGTGAAGCTGGCAGCCTTCACTACTCTGAACTCCCATTTGGTTGGCTTTAATTTATGCCTGATTCTATGTGCAGCTTGGGCAACTTGCAGTGCCCAAGCATGTCTTGTTGGCCTCATGGGAGTAGGTTTACCCTTTCAACTCGAGGAGGCTTATTAAACCATGGAAAACATGTACAAAAACTCTGGTTAGAAAGGTGTTACAAACAATTCCTTTCATGAATGTTGCTGTTGAGGTGGCTGGTCAGTGCTGGGCTCTCAGCTGCTCTCATTCCCAGCTGTTTCCCAGTGCACCTTGGGGCTGGCCCTTCTGAAGAGCTGGGTTCAGTCCTTGTGTTGCATTCTTGCTGTACAATAAATTGCAAATCCTTTGTCTTGATGAGATGCCAGTGAGGTCTTCAGCCCTAAATAGAGGTGTTGTATGGCTTAATGCAGTGGGGTGTTTGTGCCTTCATTATGTGCTTGTGGGCATTCTCAGACATGTTGCTTGGTGGAAGCAAGGTTAGTGGCAGTGAGGGCAGCCTGGCAAGCACCAGCACTTAGCCATGTTTTGGTTACAATGTGGGGGAAGCATTTTGATCTTAGCCAGGTGTCCCCCAACCTGCTCTGTCATCCCTCCCCCGTCAGCAGGACAGGGAGAGAGAATCTGAAGGAAAAGGTGGGTTGGAACAAGGACAGGGGACCTGTTACCATCATGGGCACAGCAGACTCACGCTGGGGAGATTATTTATTGCCAATGAAGTAGAGCAGGGTAATGAGGAATTAATATGTCTGAATAGAAGTCAAACAGTGCCTTTCCCACACATCTCCCTTCTTCCCAGGCTCAGCCCTGCTCCTGACTTTTCTACTTCCTTCATCTCCTCTGCTGACCCTTGTATTTACGTGGTTGTCTCTCACAGATTCTTACTCCTTTCTTCTGGCTGCTGCTGTGGAGCAGCAGCATTTTTCCCCATTCTGAAATACAGTTCTTTGAGAGCTGCTCCTGCTGATGGCTCAGTGTCAGCTCAGAAAATTAAAATACCCTCTTCCCTGCCACACCCCCGTGTCTGTTGAAGGCAGATCCAACCTGTGTGGGTTATGCTCCTGCAGGATCAGGGCCACACAGGAGCCCAGCAGTGCTGGAGTAGCTTCAGGTCACAGGTTTGTGAGCTGCAAAGCAACTTTGCATCATTTTGTCCTTCAAAGTATGGCAAAGTAGACAGCCCAAAATATACCAGCATCCCTAAATATACCTGCAGTGAGGGAGTGTATGGGCCAAGGATGCGCATGGGGAGCAGCTCAAATTAGAACTAGAATAACCTACTTGATTTGGCATTGATTACACGAGTGATTTGCCCTCAGATCAGCACTGTGCTGGTGTGTTTGGCTTAAAATAGCCCAGAAGGGCTTCAGGATGGTCCCATGGTGCAGAGCCCTGTGCAGGAACAGCTCCAAGCACTGCAGTGGCCCAGCAAGGTTGCCACAGTGGCTGAGGACTGCAGGAGCTGCAGGAAGGATGGGGAGAGGTTCAGTCCGTGTGCTCCTGTGCAAGCTCAGGCCTCCTCTCCCCACCATCCCAAGGGGTCCTGGCAGTTCCCTGCTGGAGAGCTGAAGCCAGCATGGCCCCTGGGCTGCCCTGCAGCCCCCACACAGCAAGGCTGGTCTCATCTGGCAGCAGACTGACTGCCCCACTGGGGATAAAACACATGAACACCTGTAAGACAAAGATTATCTTAGGCACTTGCTGTGTTACAACAGACTTTTCTCTACAGGATCCTTCAAAAACAGATGAGTCAGAGAACTAATAATTAGCCTTTGGCATTCAAAATACTCCTGAAGCAATATTACTTCACTGTTCTTCATCATAACTCATAAAATTATTTTTGTAGCATTTTTTGCAAGGGGCTGGAATCTCCCCCCATGTCCCTCCAGTGCCCCAGCACCTCCTGCTCAAAGGGGTGAGCCCGGGCAGGTGAGGTGAGAAAAACACTGATGGGAGAAGGCATCAGTGTGGTTGGGGTCTGGACACCAGTTTAACAGCCTCAGTCCTCTTATTGACCTTGAGATGCCATTTGCTTTTGTGGGGAATTGTAGGCAGTGTTGAGATTGTGTGGCAGTGTCTGTGTTGATTTATTTGGGTTTTCGTTTTACTTGGATTAAACCCTTGAGGCAGTGCTCTGCATTAAGGCTGCATTCCATATTAACAATCCTCAGTTAGTTTCTTACATGAATGTTTTAAGTTTCTTACATGAATGTTTTAACTCTTGGTCACGAGAGTAAACAATGGATTACACTACACTAAAAAGGAGATGCCTGCCTTGACTGCAGTTTATGTAATGAGCTGCTTCCCTTTACACATCCACTATAAATGGTTAGAACTGTAATAGGCTGATGATATGTCTGATTTCACTGTTTTTCTTGCATGCTTCACACAGGTTGTTCAACTTTTTCTTGCAGACCATGTGCCTGCCCTAAAATAGTGCATGAGGAGGCTGAGTTTGTTCCCCTGCCACTGCTGGGGTGCAAGGCTCTGGGGGTGTCCTGCCAGGATCTCTGGGGGGGCTGCCCAGGCATCTTGCACTCTGCATTGAGCAGGTAAAACTACATCTGGCAAATGCACTTGCAGCATCCCACTGATTTTAAAGGAAGAGGATAGGGCAGGTTTGGTGGTTTCCAGAAAAGAGCTGGAGGATGGAGGTGGCAGTGGGTTCCATCTGTAGGGGTACAGTGCACCCAGAGATGAGACCTGGACACCAGAGAGGCTCAGGGATGTCTGCTGGGCTTCATAAATTGTGTGTGTGAGTGGCACCCAGTATGGCTGCAGGTGAAAGAAATGAGAGTTACATCTTACAGACAGTGCCAAGCTCTGCTTTATTTTCATCAGTTTGATCAGTACAAAAGCAGACAGCATAAGTTTCACTTTTTATTCTTTTTCAGTTTAATTACTTTACAAAGTACAAAATATACTGTCATTTATTTTGGAACATTAGGATTTTTTCTTTTTTTCTGTTTTGTTTTTTTCATACAGTACATAAATCTCAGCTTTTCAGCATAAGACCAGCAAAGAAAAGCAGCATGTGCACTTGCTGGGAAAGCAAAGCAGCCACTTCTCAGCGCCACACAATGTCCAGTGCATGATCCCAAGCTGCTGCCACCACTCCCTGTGCCTGCTGGTAGAACATCCCCCCGTGCAGAGGTCATGAAGGCAGCTGATGCATTCAGGCTCCCCTGTGCCTTGTACCCCCAAGCTTGCAGGAACTGCCCACCCACACATGCAGGGCCTGGCCCCACTGAGCCCATGGGCACATGGCAGGTGCAAGCAGCCTTTCCATGGCTGCAGCCCAGAGCAGGAGGTGTACCAAAGGCCCCTGCATGGGCAGGATTCCCCCACCCTGTCTGTTTATGTCAGGTCTGGTAATTAAAGGGAAATAAATACACTTGTTTTTCTACCCTCCCCAGTGAAAGGCTGCATGGGGTTTCTGAGAGGTGAGCAGGAAGGAGAGGCTGCAAGAGTTTGGGGTTCCCAGCCTCACTTCAGCCTGTTTGGTGTGTGTCTGAGGCCAAAAGTGCTATTTCACTTACAGAGCAAATGATACATAAATAACTTATTAAATAAAAAAGTCCTAAAGATTCGTGTTTCCTCCCCAGGCTGGCCAGCACAGCTGTTCTAAGTGGCCAGGGATGAGAGCCAGACCCTGATCCAAGCTGGGCAGCTTCTGCACCAGGAGCATCTCTGCTCTCTTGGCAGTTCTAGAAATTTGGGTTAGTGTTGTGTAGGTATGCGGAGGGAATCTGGGCTCCTTTGGAGTCCATACAAAGGGGAGAAAGAAATAAATGCTCAGACTTGTTCAAGCCACTTGAGGCACTGATAAAGTGGTGCTGTGCCAGCCCCTTGTAACCAGCCCTGAACTGCAGCAGTGCAGTGGGGCTGTGACCCGCCTCTGTCACCCTGCAGGGTGATGGCTTGCTGAATCTTAGCCCAGAGAAACCAAATTAAAAATCTGCCCTAAGCACCAAGGAGGAAATGAAGCTCCTCCTCCCTCTGTGCAGCTCTCCCTCAGGTTATCCCTTCTGGCTGCCCACGGTGCCCAAACTGCAGGAGCCAACCTGCCAGTGCCAGACTCACTGCAGGGTGGGGCTGCAGATGTGCCCTGGGCACCAAGACCCAAATCCCAGCAGCAGCAGGAGCTGCTGATGGCTGGGTGGTGGGAACAGGTGAACATGTCAAGAAAATTGAGGTGATCACCCATCCTCTAATTCTGATGGAAACAAGAATGGGGAGAATGGGTTATGTAAGGAGTTCACAGTAAGGGAATGAGACAGGCTCTTCCAAAGGCTGGAACAGAGCTTCTGAAGCTGCATCCTACTGTGAGTTACTGCCTGGCAGCCTCCTCTTCTGCCTGTCCAAGAGCCATGGTTGTCCTGGTACTTGGGTCATCAGCAGAAGTGTCCCCTCTGTCACTGCCAGCCCCAGCTGCTGCAGAGGCAGTGTGGAGGAGGATGCAGTGGCAGAAAACTGTGGCTGCCACTGTGCTAGAGTGAACACCCTGCTCCTCAAGTTCGTGTCTCACAAGCCCCAAAGTCAAGCCTGGAGCCACGCACAAGGGAGGGATAACAATGCCTGGCCACAGCCAGCAGGGACAGGGGACACAACACTGCTGGCTGTGACACCATAGTCCTGGGCTGGAAAGAGGCACTACCCTGTGCATTTCCAGGCATTAACCTGGGCACTAATGGCACTTGGATGCAGTTCTCACACTATTATCAACAACCATTGGATTGGCAAGATTATTTTTAGCAGCAGTTGCAGGAGGATTTTGGGTGAGAGGTGAGGGCATGGATCCAGCCCAACCAGAAGAACCTAGAAGAGCCTGCCCTGGGATGCTGATTTTCTGCCATGGTATCACTGGAGCAGTTTGCAATTGGAGAACAAATAAAAACCTGAAGGAAGGAAGCACTGACACATGGGACTGGCAGGGATCTGGGTAGGTGGGGTTTGGGGGAGAACGAGGGCATGACTCATGTTTAATTCTATGATAGGACTAAAAAAATGGCTGAGGTCGTTGAGCTGGACCTGACAGTTCCTAATGGGTGAAGGAGAAATGAGGTGCTCCTCCTCCTGCAGAGCCACCTCCTTCATACTCTGAACGTCCTGCATCAGCACCAACTGACTGGCACAGGCCAGGAAAAGCAGAGGTTTGCTCCCAGGAAGGAAATGTTAAAACTCAGGATTTCTTCAAGAGCAGCCCTGGTTCAGTAGCCTGTCTGTCTGGGGGTACTGCTGCAGGGAAACATGCCGAGCCCTGGTGGGAAGAGTCCTGTGCTCTGTGCAGGTTGGTCCTGCCTAGAGGCAATGTCCTGCAGTTGTAAAACACCACCAGCTCTTCAGGTTATTTCAGTGATCTCAAAAACTCAACCCCATCCAAGGCTGGCATTAGAAATTGCAAGAAACACCTACAACAAAGGCTGTAGATTTTTTTCTCCTTTGCTCTTCGTATAGGAACCTGTCTCCTTCTTTCAATGTTCCACATGGCACACACTCCTGCTTTTGCCACTGACCACAAATCCACAGAGGAAACTGCTGCTTTTCTTCAGCAGAAGGGAAATTCCCTTTGCATTCCCTCCCAGCTGATGGGAATGGCTCTGTGTGGGCAGCAGGGACACAGAGGATGAGGGAGCTCTGGTTACTGGGGCTCTCTCTCCCCTGAGACCTGGCCCAGAGCAGCATCCTGCTGGCCTGAGCCTGGGGCTGCTTCAGCCTTTCAGCTGGCAAATGGGGCTGAACTCCTCTTTTAGGGCCCAAAGGAGCAGTAATGCTCACAGCAGCCAACCTGGCCAGCGGGTGCTTCAAGCAGCATTCCCACAAGACCAGGGAATCAGGTACCTGTAAAATGTTTTTCAAGTAACAAAAGAGTGAATAGGAATCTTCAAGCTTATTCCTGTAACTACAGAAAGCTGGTTTAAATCCTCAGGATGCTGAAAAGGAGCAGAAAGCCAGCCAGAGCAGGGGGACTCTGAACAGCAGCCTCCTGTGGCATCTTCCATAGGTGCTGTGCAACAGACACTGCCTCTGCCACAGCCACACAAGGAGGGAAGAAGCAACCAGCCCCTGCAAAATGAAGGAAGAAAGGAGCCCTGGTTTTGGCATAACCTTTTAGGGTTGAGAGGACCCCAGTAAAACCACTGGGTCTGCCTAGAGAGGGACATGGCACCTGGTCAGCTCTCCTGTGGTACAGGCAGAGGACAGAGCCAGACAGAGGGGGAATGACATGCTCCTGTTCTGCTCTCAAACATATTTCAATCAATTTCAAAACATTTCAATCCTGCCAGATGCCTGATGGGCATCTCTGTCCATGTCTGCTCCAAAATCCACCCATAGTTCATTTACAGATATTTGCAGAAAGCTAAAAATGGATAAAAACAAAACCCCCAAGGAGCCCAGGGCATTAAACGGCTGTTTTGCAACTGTCCTGCTCCATGCAGCTGGGACAGTGCTGAGCTGGGCTGGCCATACTGGAGCTGTGTGCTGCCATCCCTCTGCCACTCCCTTCACCTTGGCCACAAAACCTGGGCACTCTCAGCTGGGAGGAGGTGCCAGGGGTTTGTGTTCCCTTGGCCAGGCCCGCTGCAAACTCAGGGCTTGCAGAAGCACAAGTCATGGCTGCAAGAGAATTATGGAGCAGGGGGAAGCTATTCCATGTAATCTGCAATAACAAGGTTATTTGTTAATTCATTCCCAGGCTTTGAACCTGAAATGAACAATGCTGTCTAGAGAGACCAAGAAAGGATCCTGGCTTATACATGTTCCAAAGGGGTATTGAACCCTAAAATTCATACCCTAAAATGAGAATGTACTTTGACACATACTTCATCCATTTCCCCTTCATACAGCAGGGGCCGTGCATTGCTCTGTGCTCACCAGAGCATCTGCAGAGGCTATTACTGCTGCAGCCAGGATTTGCTGATCAGCATCCAGAGCACGTCTCTCACTGCAGAACCCCTTTCTTTCCTTCACCTTTGCTAACGGGAGCTGGTGGTTCAACCCAGCTGTGCTTCATAAGGATTAAGTAAAGAAGGAGGCCAAGGACAGCAGAGTAACTCAAGATTATCTTCACAGTCAAGTGTTTCCCTTCCAGGGAGCCTGGGAAGGTCCCACACCCTTGTGAGGATGTGCAGTGTTTCCACACCAGTTCAGTGCTGCCAGGATGCCTGAGGGATATTGCTGGCCCCTGACATATGGCAGGGTGCAGACAGACAGACAGATGCACTCATGGGGAGAAGGCCTGGAAATCTGGAGGCAGGTTTGCACATTTCAGCCAATGTAAATACACCCCAGTGCATGCTACAACCTCTAAATACTATTGGCCAAGGATTACTGGGTTTTACTGCTGCAAATAATAAAAGTTTAATCCAATCCAATCCAATGTTTGCAGGCAGGACTGGAACAGGTAAGTGAGATGCCTTAAGCTGCTTACTGGAGATGTCCACAACAGTCAAAGCAACAGAGAGAGAAGAAATCCTCATCAGAAAATGACTTCTTGTCCTTAACAGAATGCTGCTGGGGGACACCTTCTTTCAGGAATTAGCAGCAATGCTCAGCCTGAGGCCAAACAAAGAATTTCTCCCTTTTCATTAACAGAAAATACCAATTATCCAGTGCTGACAGGAACACTTGTGCTTAGTGAGCAGTGACTGTACCAATGCAGGACTCAGCACCTCCCATTCATGTTGCTGACCTCTAAATTAAGGAGTTCTGATGACCTGGTGCTCTTGAACAGTTGTGTGGGTGTATGGATGGGGAAAACCACAAGGGTGGGAGGAACCCCTCTGGCCCCAGACCCAATACCATCATTACATCAAAACACACAGTGATTACTGGGAGTCTTCCCCAATGGACAGGCTGAGCATCAAGAGGTATTTAAGTACTGGGGGTTTAGAGGGGTCATGCTACCCACCCTTGCTGGGATGATGTGACTGGGACCAATGCATCCTCTGGGATACTGGGCTGAGCATGGAGGCTGGGCAGGGTGGGGTGATCTGTTTCAGTCAAAAAGAAAAAAGAAAATGCTTTGGTGTTCAAAACAACAAGCAGAACTTCAGTATCTTCATATGTGCACAACAAAAAATGAACATATTAATTCTTTTGCACAACTCAGCACTCCACCTATCCCTGTTCTCCCCTACCTTTCCCATGCCTGTCACTAAGAGGGATCTCTGCAGACCCTGCACGGCCACAGAATGGATGTGTGGGACGATGCCAAGTCAGACCTAGATGCCTTCTGGAACAGAGGAGCCTGGGCTGACCCGTGGCTGCTGCAGGTCAGCAAGGCCTGAAGCCCTGGCCCTTCTGCAGCCAGGCAGTCACAGCAACATCAGCTCACACCAGGGATGGGGTCCCTTTGTAAGAAAAAGCATTCAAGCTTTGTATAGCAAAGCTGAGAAAAGACAGAAAACCACTTCTCAGAGGCAGGCTCTGATCAAGCACGTGCAATTCAGCCTTTTATGTCCCAGACAGCTTCCCAACCTTCACGGGATGTCAGAGTCACTAACCCTCATCTCACAGACACCGTGAGACTTGTGGGGCAGCCAGTGGGGGAATGTGTCAGCAGCTCATGCCTGAAGGCAGCAAATCCTGCAAATGCAGTGCAATGGCAGAGCTCTGAGCAGAGCTGCTCCCTGCCTTGCCTCTCTCAGGGGTCTACACATTCCTTAAAGCATCAAGAGCACCAGGGAAACAACTGAGTACTTGGGGAGCTAGGCTGCAGCCTGAGCAACCTCCTCTGCCACACACTCCCTTATCCTGCACTGCCTTATTTCCTCCCAGTGCTGGCAGGACAAAACATCATGCTTCAGAGAAATAAAACCTGATACACTGCTGTTGGATGCTTTGATTGGCTGAAGCCATCAGGACCTCCCAGCAGAACCTAGAAGTTCCCACACCCAAATCTGCACGGCACATCTTAAAAAGTACATCCCTGCTCAGTGTCATGTGCTAGCCCAAAGCAGGACCTGACACAAACAAGCTCTTAGTGAGAGAGGAGGATTGATTCATCTCTGACCAGCAGCCTGTGCCCTGGGAATGGTAACAGAGAACTTGCAGTTTAAAACACATTTCAGAGCAGCAGTATGGTGAGTATGCTTTTTAAATGGCATTGTCATTAGGTGAGTCTACTTATGTCACCCACTGCAGGTGCCACTGTCTCTATGCTGCAGCAAAACCAAATATTTCCATTAAGGCCTCTCCCCATTAGGGAGGCTCATACATGCCATCTAAAGCACAGCATTGCAGAAACTCCAAACAATGCCTGGAAAGAAACTGAAGGCTGCACAAACCTGTGCAAGGGTGCATTTGGGGGGCAGCCTGAAAAATCAGCAGCTTCTAAGTGCCAAAAGGTCAGTAGCAAGGCAGCACCCCTCACCTCCCAGCCCCCTTTAGTGAAGTGTAACTGAAATAGGAAAGCAGCATCTTTCCCTCCATGGACCCTAACAGCACTCCTGGTCAGCAGAGATCTCCAGTGGTGAGATGCAAAGACCACACACTGCCAGTGACTGGGTTCAAGCTGGGTTCTTCTGCTTTTAACAGGAAAAGACCCTCCAACAATTACATCTATTTAAAAATAAGCCACTGATTTCAGCTCCTCACAGGCCAACAAATGTGAATTCCCCAACAAATACCAGAGCCCTGCACTAGCCAGGGGCTGCCACTGCAGACAAATCCACCAGGAAATCAAATCTTGCACATGCCCCAGGCTCGAGCAGAGAGCCTAGCCCAGCCCCAGCTGCAGGAAACCTGGAGGAGCTCCTGCCCTGCTGGGGGAGGCAGGCAGAGCTCTGTGCCTGCAGGAGCTGGAACCCCACTGGAAACCCCAGCCAGGGTCTGGGCAGGCACTGTGCAAACAGAGCAGCCCTGCTTACAGGCTGAGGCAATTTAGGGCAGCAACTAAAACATATAGAGAGGAAAAGGAGTGGATTTCCTACAGTCTCTGTGCTTGAGGTACCAAACTGGAGAGGAACAGAATTTTCTGAAGCAGGGAGGGAAATCCAATGCTGCTCCCAGCAAGCAGAGGAGCCCCAGCTTTGCTTCAGGTCAAATCCCTCCACTGCTGCTCTTCACTAAACATATGTAGAGAAAAAGCAAAAGTGGAACAAATATTGCCCATTACTTGACTTAAAAATATATGGTGAATAAATGTGTGTATACAGAACTCACTACACAGATGCACACACAAGGGTGTGTGCCCAGAGCACACACATGCACTGTATATGTGTGTGAGCCTATAGTGCCTGAGTGCACACACCATGTACAGGATACCACCCTAGAGACAAACATGGGTATTTATAGGTGTGCAATAGGGACTCACTGTGGATTTCTATGGAAACACTTAGGATGTATATTTATGCACACACTTGCTCAGTAGAAAGGAATTTGTAGTCACATTCTAATTGGGTTGAGGGAGAAAGACAAAACTCTAATAACACAGTTTGGAAAGGCTGAGGCTTCTAACAAAATAAAGGCCTTGGAGAAAGCTTATCCCTTTCTGCAGGCTGGAAACTTTTGCATTTTGCTGTTTGAATTTTGTGAGGAGACAGGGCATGGGGAGGGGCCTGCAGCATTGAGGCAATCCCTCACTACAGCAGCCATGGCCAGGTGGAACTGCCCAGAGAGCTGAGCAGGGATGCTGAGGGCAGCTGCAGGAAATCCAGGCACCCAGCCCAAGGGTGTCCACGGAGACATGTTCCTCCTTTATCCACACAGGACTCAACAGCAAAATGTCAGGGATACTCAGATGTATTATCATAAGGAAAAAAAGGAAAAGACTCTTCCTTTTAAAAAAGGAAAAGTCTCCTTCCCCACTTCAAAGGCTGTGTGCTGAGAGTGGGAGCTGTGGAGCAGCTTTAAGAGCCCCCCTGCTTTGGGTTCACTAAGCACTGGGGTGTCAGTAGTGTGGTGGTATCATTATTACTATGAAAATATTTAATGAAGCCCCTACAGAGCCCTTCCTGCAGTGTAGGTCTCACATGCAGCACTACTGTGCAAGCCTGCATTGATCCTGACTGCAGGCTGGTGCAGGAACAAGGTTCCACCAATTATGGCCACATTTGGAGTATCTCAGCTCCCACCAGAAAAAATATGAAAGGAATACTAAAGGGAAAGCATCAAGTTGTCTGAAGCAATCTTCTTGGATGTCAAGACAAAAAGATAAAAGGAAATAAAAAGGTGAATCCAAGGATGGTGGCAGTGTCAGAGTCCCCCAACAGCATTTTACATCCTGTGAATTTTTCAGGCCAACTCTCCCATGTTGGGACATTCAACCTTCCTTTGGAAGGTTTCAAATACCACAGATCTTTCTACAGATTTCACAAATATAAGGCTGATTCCCTTGGGAAAAAAATTAAATTACAAAAATCAGCCTCTAAAATAGCCTGAGTGCAATGTTAGAAAATTAAAACTAATTTTTTGTTGTTGTTGTTTTCATTTAAGGCTCAGTAAAGTTGTTGCTTGTTTCAAGTTACTTCCTTCCTATCCAGGCTGAAGTCCTTTGGAAGCAGCACTGGCACATACACAGCAACACTTGGTACTCTCTGATGCCAAACCTGGCATTTCCCAAAGGCTGGCAAAACCCCAGAGCAGAAGGCAGCCTGTCCTGATGACTCTGGCATGATGGCACCATCCATGCACACAGCTAAAACTCAGCCTCAACTCAGCTGAGCAGAAACCTTGGCTGGCAACTCAGCAGCTGAACAGCACCTCAACATCCCACTCCCCCAACCCTCTGACAACATCTGGGGTGAAAAGCCACCTCTGGCCTTGCTGCCCACTCCAGCCCAGCTCAGTGCCCACAGCACAGGGTAGAGCCACAGCAAACATCTGCAGATGCTTTCAGCACTGCACTGTGCCTGTCCTTGTGGCAGGACACCAAAGCATCTTTCCAAACAAGCATCCAGACATGCACAGTGCCACATCTAGAACACACCTTTAGTCTAGAAATCTGGAATGAATACAAACATATCATGGGACAATTTTGAAAACCCATGCAAAGGAACAGCAGAACATCCTGTTTGGTAAAACATGAACATGTGCCCCAGTGTTCCTCAGCAGGGATGCTTCAGCTCCAGTAGGGCCAAGCAAGGAAAGTCATCCATGCTTTTTTCATGGATGCTCTGACTCATTGTCTACATGCCACAAAACATCCCACTGGTGAAAAATCAGATTTGAAACTCAGTTTGAGTCCAGCAGCATCAGAAACCATAACTGCTTGGCCCTCCAGTACTGTGAATGCAGAACTAATTAACCAGCTCTGTGTGTGTATTTGTCCTACACACCAGTAAAAACCATGCCCATGGCATGATCCCAGGTGTTTGCTTACTGCCTCCAGATTAAACCCTGGCTCGCAGCTGTATATGGCATAGCCTCAGGAAAATCCTGCCAGAGGCTGTCTCTGAAGCATGGCTGGAAAGCCCTCGGGAAAAAGGCAAGATCTGCAAATTCTTTATGTTAAGCCTGAAGTGGAAGAAGTTAAGAATTAAGATTACCAGCTGGGGCTGGTAATCACAAGAGCAAGGTCCTCTGCAGACAGCTTCTCCTCTCACCAGCCCTCGCTGCATGTCACAGTGGAGCAGAGTGCTGGCACCCACACCCTGGGTAACACTTCTCTCCCAGCACTGCTCTCTGCTGTCCTCCACAGTGGTGGCAGTGGCCATGGCACAACCTGGACACAGGTGCCACTGTGGGCCTTGACGCCAGGCTCCTGCTGGCCCTCAGCCGTGGTACAAGCCAGAGAAAACACACTACTGCTTCCCCATGGCAAAAGCCCCATCATCTTCCTGTGCAGGACCAGATGCCAGCAGGTTTTAGGCATTTTCAGCACCACTTTACTTTCCCCAGGCAGCAGCAATTTCTACCTGTGTGATGAAAAACTGCAGGAGGGTCCCCACAGGACTCAGGCACCCTCCTGGCCCTAGCAGAGGGAACCTGCTGCGGCTCTTGGCCAAGGTGGCCTGGATGTGCAAGAGCAGCTACCCAGGGATCCTGGGCAATCCTTTATTTCCCCATGTGTGCACACTGGATGGAAAAAAGCTTGAGGCGACCGGAGAAAAGAGCCCTTCCTCCTCTTGCTGGCCCTGAGGAACAAGGGCTGGGGGAAGGCTCTGATGTGGGATAAGGGGACAACAGCTGTCCTGGAGCAGGGGATATGGCAGGAGAATACTCGGAACAGTGAGGGAGTGACTGGAAAAAATTGACCCAAACCAGCCAAGTTTCAATGCAGACACAAGTCTGGGTGACACCACCTGCCAGGAGCTGGCCAGAGCTGAGCTCCCCTGCCCAGGCTTTCTCAGAGCAGCCAGGCTTTGACAACAGGGAGAAAGAAAAAGGGAAATGTCAAACAATTGGATATTTTCCTCTTTTCCAACACCAAATTGTTCTGTCAGCGGAAACAGAACCCTCTGCATCCTATCTCAACACAGGCAGTGATGGACAGGCCTCAGAAGTCTGACGCAAGGAGACAAGCCAGTACTATGCGACGTCTTTTCTGTTTAATTCCATATTTCACTTTGTTTCTGCTGTTCAGGGCTCTCTGAGACAGCAGCCTGTCCATCTGCTCTTGGCCCCCCCCACTGCCCTCACAGTGTGCCCAGGGCCATCCGTGCTGGGTGTCCCTGGGTGTCCCCAGGCAGCTCCTTCCACACTGAGCACAGCCAGGGTTCACTTCACCTCGGAGCTGAACATCAGGAAACCATACAAACTCCCTCTCCTCCTGCCCCTCAGTCATAAATTTAATAAAATAACAATAATAATAATAATAATAATAACAATAATAATAATAATAATAATAATTAAAACAAAGGCTTATTGGAGCTGTTTCTGCTCAACTTTCCACAGTCTCTTTTCATGTCACTCTCTGTAATCAGATTTTTCAAGAAATACTGTGAGAAAAAAAGAATAATAATAATAATAATTATTATTATTAGAATAATAAAAAGCATCTGGAACCAGCTCAGAAGATTTCTAATGCTTTTCAGCTTGACTGACTTGGAGTGCATTGACCACACCATTTATATTTTCTTCAGGTACCTGCAAAAAAACAAAAAGAAAGGTCATGTTCCAGCAAAAGGGGACAAGGAAAAGAGAGGCAGAAGACAAAGCCAGACCAGTCCCAAGGAGGCAGACACTTTGCTTGTTTTTTGCTTACACCTGAAGTTCACTGAGAAAGGGCTCCAGGTACAAGGACAGCCCTGTTCACCCATGGTACCCCCAGTGCAAACACTGAGATGCAGAGGGTTTGCTGTTGTGTGGTGGCTGCTGGTGGGAAGCCAATTATTTTGGGGTTTCTCTTTCTCTCTGCTCTTCCTGTCCCCTCCTTTCCCTTCCTTTTGCTGGTGAAGCACTTGCATGCCAGGAGCTGACTTGTGCAAGGTGCCTGTGCTGATGGATTTATGTGGCTGCCTAAGGGCTCCATGAGGCTCTCGGGGCACCCTACAGGACTGGGACCTGTAAATTGGGTGGGAAGGCCATGGTGGGTGACAGGAGAACACATCCACCAAAAGAGGAAGAGAGCTACCAGTCTGTTTGTGGTGCTTTCTTATGCAGCCTTGTGAGGAGACTTAGCCACAGAAGTCTGTAGTATTCATGGTGTTTTTTTATGCTTACTGCAAGAAAAGCCTCTTGTAATAGAAGATGCAAAAAATCTCAGAGTGACTGTCACTGGCAGAAAAGAACATCAAAAGTAAAGTTACATCTGGCAGAAAAAGTGTGTCTGAACTCTACATAAACTCCAAGACACTGGCAGCTCTTGAAAAGTGGAAAGAGGACTGAGGGAAAAATAAATTATCCCTAAGTTGCTGCAAGAAGCCAGTATAATTCATCTCAAGTAAACTGAAGAAGGAACTGTCTCCTCTACAAGGTATTTAAGGCCAAGAGTACAATACCTGGATTCACTGGACACTCTCAAGAACTCAGTGGAAATACAAGTCCTTGTGTCTTTCTGGTGAGGCTTTTAATAAAACTGAGGAAAAAGCCCATGAGAAATAACAAGAAAAATGTTCCATTTTCCAATAGGATGATGGAATAACAGCAGTCAACTCTGATGATGTGTGAACAAAAGTCATTTGGAAAGGAAGAAAATAATCTTAAAACAAGCATACAGCAAACTCTTCTGGTTTAGAAGGAAAACACCAGGACACCTCCACACAGGGAACAGGACTTTGAGGCAGGACTCTCCACTGCCTCCCCTTCATCATTCTTCCCACTACACTGAACACTGCAGTGCAAGAAGCTGTTTGACTCTTTTCCTCCACGTAAGATAATGAGAAAACACATAGTTATCAAATTTTTAACCACACTCCCCTAGCCAGCCCCAGTGATGCTCAGTGGATCTCTCTGTCTGCTTCCTCAGCACTGGACAGAAGAGGAGGAAGCAGTCCTGGCCAGCTCTGGCCAGCTGGCTGTGACCTGCACAGACCCATCTCCATGAAACACAGTGCTCCTTCACTCCCTGCAAAATGCCTGACCCCCTTAACAGCACAGAAATTATATGTCACCCTACAAATGTTTTCTCCAGGACAGATGTGCACACAGTTTTGATCTGTAGGACCCATCCTAGTTTGCCACCAGAGGAGGAGTCCTCCCCCTCTGCCCCTTGGAAATGACTCCTGTCCCAAGGCAGCTGGTGCACTGTGCTCCCTTCTCAGGCAGAGTGCAGATCAAAGCACTGACCACGAAGGAAGAACCAAAGCTCCAAATTACACCCCAGACACAGCTCCAGCCTCTTCAGAAGCAAAATGCTGGTGAAAGAGAGCAAGACACCTGTGAACATGAGGCAGTAGGAGCTGAGTACCTGGAAAGGCAACTCTTCTTCCTTGCTCTCTCTAGAGGGAGCTGGTAACCATGATTCTCTCCAGCCTGACCCTGCATCACCCAGGGGACATGCCAGAGACCTGGAGGTTCCCATCTCAGCATTGCCTCCCAAAGGGATTTAATCTCAGGCACAAGTCCTGATCACCAGGTTAAATATCCACAGCTGCAGCATGGCAGGAAGACCTGAGTATTACACTCAGGTCAAATAAAAATTAAGTAACAAAAACCACCTTAAGATGCAAAGGAGAAAAAAGATCAGATCAAAGGGAAGAACACATTTTTGCACAGTACTTTAAATTGCTGACAACAGGTACTGAACCACCTTAATTAAAGAAAGGGAGAATTTAGAGAAAGGGTTCAAGATACATTTACTCCTCAAGGAATGTCACTAGAAGTCAAGGTATCTGGGTAGCAAAGTTAAAGAAAACATGACAAAATCTAGGTCAGGGTCTTGGCCAACAAAACCACCCTAAAGACAACAAGCACCCAACCCAGCCAGCACACCCAGAGAAAAGTCAGGCACAAAATGCACCTTCCAAAGGACTGAAGGGTTTGACAACTGGAACAGCACTGCCCAGGGGAAAAGGCTTTTTAAACCATACATAAAGAAAACAGTAAGTAGCAAAGAAAAACACTGAAACACTGCTTTGAATAAGGAAAACCTGCAGACCTAATGGCCCCTCTAATACCCTGCCAGCTGCTGGGAGCAGGATCTGTGGGGCCTGGAGGCAGCAGGATGAGCACTCTGAGAAGGTGGAGCTGCCTGCAGAGTCATGGCAATTGTGTGGTGTAAGTTTTCAGCTACAGATCTATTTTAGCTGACAGGGCTGAGCTCTCCAGATATGGCTTGACATGTAGAAGCACTCTGCACCTTGTGCTCTGCACAAAAAGTGCACACCTGGGGCCACACAATGGGCAGAAATGTGAGGCAAAGCTAACAGTATTGATTTTTAAATGGTGTTTTATTAGCATATCTTATCAGCACTGTTAATATTAAAAAAAATAAGACAAACATATATAACACTCTGACCTTTGCTATCTGAAATAATATTTACTTTTACTCTTTACACACATGACCTATCAGCTGTGAACGGTTCACACCAGCTGTGAAAAAACAAAGTAATTAAAAAACCCCCAAACCTGCTTTGATCTCTCTAGAGCTTTACAGGTTAAAGGTAGGACCTGAATAGTGAATTTGCAAGTGATAGAAAGAGAAGTATAATGCAATAAAGGGCACATTAAAAAAAAAAATGAATAGTATAAAGCAGCTGACTCCCTCCTTCAGGACTGGGGAAATGGGTTCCAAGTCAAATGCCATTCCATTTGTGGCTACAGGCATTGCACTTTCCCTTTCTAGGGGAATTCCTCATTTTTGAGGGTGTCTTCTCTACAAAGGAAGAGCAGAGGTAGGCTTAGAAAGTAAAATATCCATCAATATAAAAAATGAAGAGAACTCTCCAAGGGCTGCAAGACTCTCATGTTGATGACTGTGCTGCAGCTGCTTATGGGCACTCATGAGAACAAACATGGGAACAACATTATCTGCTTCAAAATCACCTTCTCCTGCTGTGCTGGCAATTATTACTTGTTTATCAAAACCCAGGAAGATGCAGGGACGGCAGAGCTAACAGATGGGTCTCAGAAAGCAAAGGTCAGGACAATGCAGATACCAAGAGATGAAGGCAGGGGTCTGCTACTGGTAGACTGTCCAAAAAGTTCTCAACACACAAAGGCACCTGTGATGACCCACCCTTAAGGGGAAGGAGCACTTAAGGAAGCACCTTCCTGAGAGTCTGGAGCCTGCAACTACTTTTGGAAGCAAATGGAAGGGTTTGTGGCTGTTTCTAATAGAAGATACAGATGCAGTGGAAGGAGCTGCTCAGGGAGATTGTGAAGTTTCCATCACTGCAGGTAAGGACTGAGAACAACACTCACTAACACAGCTTTGCCTTGGGTAGGGCCTGGCTTGGTTCAGGAGCCTCTCACCCAGGGCAGGAGGCTGAAGACTGGAGTTTGCTGGGCTACACTGGAGGCACTCCAACAAGCTATCCAGATGAGAAGTGACATTCTCATAATGTTTTCTCCTAAGGAAAAGATCTCCCCCACTCCAGAGAAGCTGTATTCATACTCACCAAGGCGTGATCAAACTTAAAAGTACTGATGTAGTAGGCTGGGATGTCGGCTGCGGCCAGAGGCTCAGAAATCTGAGCGACAATTCCACATTCATCTGTGGGGAGATAAAACACCAAACATTGTCTGGAGGGGCTTGCAAAAGTCTCAGAGCTCAACAGCTCCATGCCTACATATGGAGAAGTTTGTCTTCACAAACTCCAATCAGAAGGAATCTCTGTAATAAAATGTATTCTTTCTCACAGAATCAAGTTTTTGGGCCACAACAATACACATGGAGAAGTTTGTCTTCACAAACTCCAATCAGAAGGTATCTCTATAATAAAATGTGTTCTTTCTCACAAAATTAAGTTTATAGACCACAACAATATATTGCACATTTAGTTTTATTACCTTCTTTTTGCTACAGAGAAACACACATTCTCCAAAGGCACAAAACCATTAGAACTGGAATCGTTTAGAGGTTCAAAGAAAGGCACTGAACAACGTTCAACAAGAAAGCACAGAGCCCAGCCCCATATATCCTTAACATCCATTTTTCTCTGTTATTGAACACTTGGCCCTGCAACTCTGAAAGAGGAGATGCTGACTGGACTAAAAGGTGGCATGGGAATTCATTGCAGATTACTGAAATCAGTGGTCAGAAAGCAATGTCATACTCCAGTGCAGTGCTTGGGTAATTCTGTGATTCTAGTAGACTTTTTATAGATTTATAGCACTCCAGTTTTTCTTTTTAACCAGAGCCCCACCTGTAGCCACCCCAAAGTCCAGCAGATGAATGCAATGCAGCTGGAACTGTTGAGCATGTAGCACTTTCAGGAGTATATTCAGAAGTCAAACTTAATAGAAGTCAGGCTCCTATTTGAAAATCTCAGCTCACAAAGTCATGTTAAGCTGCTGGCTCTAAAAAAGCATCAGCCTCAGATGGATTTTTCCATACTCCTTGAAGGCCCTGAGGTGACTGACTGCCTGCACACCAACTGATCCTCCAAATGTTACTTACCAAAGCCAAGAGGCTGCCCACCAATCCTCACCATCTTCCAGAGCTCACCAGATGCACTTGTAAACAACAAATTATTAGGAAATCTGTAAAAAAAAAAAAAAAAAAAAAAGGAACACCAAACGTAGCAATTAAAACACAGCAGTGTGTCAGATTCTGCCTGTGGGGAATCTGCTCTTCCTGCATCCTTGAGGCGTTTGAAGCCAACAATAATGGGGCAGTAGCTTGGGCAAACTGGGAAGACTCAAGGCAGGTGGGGCAGATGCACCTGCCTGATCCCTCAGTATCCTATGGCAAATCAGCAACTCCTGCTGGAGGTGGGGATAGGTACCCAGAGAAGCACAGGAAAAAACTCGTAAGCAACAGGCTGTGTCCCAGCTTTACAAATGTTGAAACTTGAAGGTTTGATTTGAGCTGCATTTGGAAACAGCTGGGGATGGAATATATTTCCATGCCTGCTCTCAGGAATGTGAAGGGTAACCACTGGTTTTGTGTCTGAGCACCATCAGTGCTTTTTTCCATCCCATTCTGGGAGGTCCTGGGACCACTGCAGAGGTCTCTATTTCTTAGCAGAGGGAAGGAGACCCGAGGCTAAGAGAGTTACCCAAGGTGAAGGAGGCAGCCTGTGAGAGAGAAGAACTGGCTCCCCAGATTTCCCACACCCCAAGCTGAAGCTCCAGCCCTCTGGCTCCTCTTAAGACAGACAAAGGTTTACTGCAATAAGGTCAAAGAAACTTTCAGGAGGGCAATTTATTACTTTGAAAAACAAGTCCCTGGGGCAGGGGACTTGCCCCAAGAACCAAACTGCACTGCATGTCAAAAGCAAATCTAAGCACTGCTGAGTACAGCATCCCTCCAGCCTCCACACCTGAGAGCCTGCTGTGCTGCACAGCTGCAGACACACACACACTGAGGCTGACTGCTCACCAGCTGGCTCCTTCCTTGCTGGACAAACAAGTCATGGGCTCCCACTGCACAGTGATGACTTGGGACATTATCATCATAACAAGATTCCAAACCAAGCCCAGCCATGTGTAAAAGCAAAGCAGTAGGACAGCATCACTGACATCCCCACCCTGATTTTGGCCTTTAGCAGGAAAACTTCAAACACCTACACCAGGTTTTCCTTTTGGGTTTTGTTCTTACAAGCACAGCTAATGAGCAACAGAATAAAAATGCAAAAACCACTTTGCTCCAGTACTCCTCTTCTGAAAGTGAGATAACTCTACATCACACTGGTTTGTGATTTCACTGAGGGCTTGGACAGACCAGTCCAAAATTTAGACACTGGAACTAAAATGCCAGATTTTACTCAGAAAAATGACAGGGTGTACAGGCCCATGACAACCATAGAAGACAGTCCAAATAATTAACACAGAGGAGTCTAAGCTGCTCCCTGCTCCTTTGAGAACATCCCTTTTTTTTAAGGTCCAAGTTACTCTAAGATCAAAGCTCACCTCTGCTGCGTCTGGACATCCATGACCAGGGAGATGTAACCCTCAATGAGAGAAAAGGAGAAAAAGCGAATATGTCCCGAGTCTTCATTGCCCACCACTGAGTCTTTTACTCTGGAGAAACAGAAGAGAACTATATTAACTGTGGCTAGAAGAGCACAAAAATGGGTTTTTAAAGCAGATATAGCCAGTGAAACCAGAAATGTTCTTACACTGACTTAGGGAAGTGACACTGTTGTATCATTTGATTTTTTTTATTTTGCAGGTGGAAAACTATCCAGTCCCACAACTGACAAAACTCTCCATCCCTTCCTCGAGGTCACCTCACAAGAAGCTGTGGGCCAGGAGCCATGGGCACCAAGGGGCAGCAATCCCGCCAGCTGTACATGCTCTGGCCCTGTGTGGATATGCAGCACACTGACCACATGGCTACTCTCACCCTCACTCTGAAAAAGCTCAGCTAGCTTTCCAAAGCCAGCAGATGCCTTTGGGCACCCTCAATCACCTGTTCAGCTTCCACCCATCAGGACAACCCTCTTGAGCCTATGAAACCTCCCTCCCTCCCTCCCTCCCTCAGTGCAGAGCACTGGAGCAGCACAAGACCACAGCAGATCCCTGGAGCAATCTGTGCCTCCAGACACTGGGCACACCTCTCCTGGAAGCCCATCTCCCTGCAGGACCTACCCATTGGAGTAAAACATGACATCCATCAGGAGTGTAGCAACAGTGGGAAGGGTATCTGGATCCAGGCTGGTGACACAGAACATATTACTTGGGCTGGAAAGAGGATGAATGACAGGCCTCTGAACTGAAAGAGACACACACAGACACACACAGCTGTGAAGCCACATCTGCAGCAGGCTCCTGTCCCATCAGCTGTGTTATCCATGCCCTGGCAAGGGTCACAGAGAAAGCTGACAGTATTTGTAAGGCAGTGCCTCATTGCTGAAGCCCTGCTGGCTCTCAGACAGGGAATGAGGGGCCTGTGGACAATCTGCTCCTGTGCTGGTGTCCCTAAGGTATAGGGTGGTGTTACCCTGCATACCCTGCCCAGCTCTCTGCTCCGAGGGGCTTTCAGGCCCTTGGGTGCATCCACATGACATGAGGGGCAAACTAAATGAGGGGCCAAGAGAAACTGAAAAGTGGAAAAAAATGCAGGCTTCCACCATTAAAAGGCAGGGCTATGGAAGGCTGTGGTTGCTGGCAGTCCATCCTGTTTTCCCTTATTTCTGGGAACCTTTTTTGCCATAATATCTTGAAAAATTGAAACCCAGCAGACACGCAGCAGTTTGTCTAACAGATTGCAGCCAGTGGCTGAGAAGCAGCCAGCATTTAGGCATACAACCAATAGACCAACACAGCAAACTGTGGACTGGTGCATTATCAACACGTGTTTCACTGTGCCCTTTATTGATGCCTTTCTTCTTTAAGACTCATTTTCTTAAACAAGGTCACTGTTAGCTCTTGAGTGATGAAACTGAGTGGCACTTCATAATAACTGATCCCTGCTTTGCCTGGTTATGGGCAAAAAATTACACACGTCTGTAGGCAAGCATATGTATGTAAGTTGTTCCTTCTTCTGACTGTGCCCTTTGGCTTGATACTTGTTCCTTTAGCTTGCAAACATCCTAAGGTTCTGTACAGCCCTGGGCTCGTTGTGGCCTTGATCCTCACTGGCACTGAAGTGTGAAAGCTGAAAAACAATCTTCTCTGTGCATCACTGCAATACTTAAACAAGCTTTTAGAGAAGCCATTTTCCTTTGGAATGTTGAAGCATAGAAATATGGGCTACAGACAACATTATTTTTGCAACTGCAACAAACTGTACTTTAACTTTCTGTCCTACCAAAGGCATGTCTTCTCTAGAAAAACTAGCATTAGAAGGCCAAAATTCAGCCAAACTTAATAGCACTGCTCAGAAAGTTAAGAACCTACTGAAATCCCTGGTTGTACTTGGGAGAAGCTTGTAAGATTATAATCTTACAACAGGATAAATATTCACCCAAATGCTGAAGGAAGCTAGGAGGCAGAACTTCCACACCATGTGTCAGGGAGACCAAATCCCTGGCAAGCTGAGCCTATGCTGGTCCTTACCTAGTTTTGGTTTGACAAATCCATTTGTTACCCCAAAGTCATCAGCAGCCACAGTCTCCCCATTCACTACTCTGAGGATGGTGAACTCGGCAGCCAGCGTGTGCATCACGAAGGGCAGGTCTCGCTCACGCACCTGAAGAGGACAACAGGATGATCTGGTGATGGCATTATGGAATTATTTGGATATCTTATATTATGGTATTATCTGGATATGCACCAGACGACAAAACACTGCAGTGGAGGGTACACACTTTTAGTGTACAGTGAAGTGGACATGACTCCTGCTTGAGGCAGTGGATAGTTACCATTTAGGTGTATCTTAAGAGAAGTGACACTTGCTGGTATCACTGCGAGTATCAGTAGGATTAAGCACCAGACTGCTTTTATGACTGTAAAAAGAATGTGGAGATTTCTAAGCAGGAGATGTTTCACCTCTTTTCCAGCATTGCTGCAACAACTCAGCACTGCCTGTTCTTCAGTCTTGTTTCCTTGTGTGCAAGCACACACACATGTGTGTGAGACAGAAAGACAGTCTGTCTGTCTATAACCAAAACAACTTTGGAGCCTCTTGGCCATCACCAGCCAACATGACAGCAGACATTTTGTTCCTCTAACTTTCAGAAAACCAATGTCTGAGTGATGGTGGGAAGTGCTACCAGTATCTGTATTCCAGGAGACACTGTTGTGTGGGCTCACCACCCATTAGACACCAGACAACCCATGACACAAATGCTTCATCCCATGGCAAAAGCTCCTGAGATGTCAGAGTGTCTGACTACAAGGAACAGAGCTCTGGGGAAAGCAGACTTTGGTACTTTTGCCACTCCCAGACAACTTGTTCCCAGAATTACCCAACTGAATTTTCATCTGGTGGCAATAACTCTGCCTGGTCCCCTCATGTCCTCTTACCAGGATGAAGTCCGTCTGATAGGTGGAGAGCATGAACACTGAGATGTTTTGGTCAGCTAGGGGTGCTATGACTGACTTGGCAATTTTGGTCACTCCGATGGGCTGGGAGCTGGAGAAACCACCTCCACCAGACACCACGTTGAGGGCAAGCCATGTTGCATCGGCCACGCTCAAGTGCTCCGAGGAAGGAAGCTCTGCAGAGACAGAAGGGGAGGACAGAGGTTTATTTTAGAGGCAGAGAGAGCCAGGTCCACTATGTGCCAGTATGTGCTCAGCACAGACCTCAGTGCAAGGAGTGACATGAGCCCCCTTATCCCAACCTCCTGGCCTTCCCATGCTCCTCCACAGGCTAATACTGTGACACTCCTTCACATACTGATTACATCAATTTCCAGGCAGGATTCACACAGATTGTCAAGGACAACACAGGGAACTGAGGTGACTCAGCATTCACCTGGATGCCAGTGACCAATTCTGTTGACCTCCCAAAGGGGAAACAGCTTGTGGTGGTTGTGGTTACAAAAGGAGAGTGCCAACAGTGGGTCTAAACAAACGGTGCATGGTGCATTCTACTCCCCTCTATATCATTCCTGACAAACTCTTCATTACAGGTCACTTGCAGGAGCTGCCCATCCCAAACCTGACACCCCAGGCTACAAGCTGGGTGTTAGATAAGGGAGAAGCAGCAAACCCTTCAAGGCAGGGTAGTGTTTCTCCTTCACACCAATGACTCAGCTGTGATAATTCCCCTTTGGGGAAGCACCAGCACAGTCACACCCATACTGAAGGGGGAATCTCTGCTAATGGGCCATAATGGGCACCACCAGAATAGGAGTTGTAACTTCGACCATCAAGAGCTACCCAAAATATCCTATGACTCACACTCTTACATCACTCCACTGTGAAGCTCCCTGCCTGGGGGAGGTACTGAGCATTCCTGCCTGAACCTGAGCTATATAATCTCAACACTACCACCACCACTGGATGGATCCAGAGGACCAGACCTTCCACGGAACCATGGCATCTGACTGCAACCATCATTTGAAGGACCGTGATCAGCAGCCTTCCCAACAGGGTGCCAGTCTTCTGTGTTTTATTGCAATCTTTCTATTAAATTGTAACTGCAACCTGGAATCTCTCAAGGTAATTCCATGGGGATTCTCCAGCCGGTTTACTTTCAAAGCAGCACAGTGGTCTTGGACTTAAATCTCTATCATACAATTTCTCTAAACATTTTACTCAAGCTGTTCTGGCCTCTTTTGTTTCCATTTTCCCACTCTAATCTAAACCCAAATTTTGTACTCCTGGACTGGAGATGGAGATTGACAGAGCAGCCTGGGCACTATCCCTAGTCTCTGAAGATGCAGAGCAGGCACCCTGTGCATCTGTGGGCTCCTGCCTCCATCTCTAAAGCAGAAGACCCACACAGCTCTGCAAGGGATGGATGGTGCAACACATATACTAGGGATTACAAAGTAAGCACATACTAAGATAATACAAATTACTTTGGAAATTGAAAATACCAAGAATAATCCCACTCCACTTGCTTCTAATCTGTTGTGGTTAAGTAGTTAAAAATCTGCAGCAACAATTTAATACAAATTATTAACTGTTTTAAAAAACCCTTAATGTACTAACAGCCCAGAAAACCAGATGCAGACTTTGGAATGAATGCATACACTGCTCTAGGATTCTCTGGATTTTTGATTTTTGTTTGGCAAATTACAGAAACAAACAGTTCTGATCCAGACTAACAAATGCATAATTCCAGCTAAATCTACTTGGGGTAAGGAACCTGATCCCAGATGCAGATTCAGCCAGCAAGGACATAGCAGATGTGCCAGGGGAGGCCTACACATTCAGCTCAGAGGTGAGATACAGCCCAGGAGCCTGAAAGCACAGACCCCAGCATTGCTGCTCTTGCAGTCAGCACTCTGGCACTTTAGGCAAGTGCTTGCATGTCTCCATGTCCACACACTCCAGGCTCCTCCATCCTTTCTTTCTCCTTCAACGAGACCTTTGGCAGTTGTTTCTGTACAGCCCCAGACACCGTGTAACAAATTCCTAACCTCACCCTCTCCGAATCCTCAGGCATCACTTCCCTGAGACACTGACAGCACTGAAAACCCAAAATGATCTGAATAACAAACACATTTGCTCTCTTCAATAACCTCAATTGTGTGTGGCATGAAAACAACCCTGAGCATACACACTGCAAACAGTGGGGACACTGAGGGTTCTGCTTCTGCATTTTGATGTTTAGCTTCATAAGCCAATGTTTCTTTTTTAATAATCAGAGCTTACAAGGGATGAAAACTAGACACCAGGGAGAGGAGGTAAGTTTGTGCATTAATCAACAGCATGTTATGTCAGAGAGATCTGTGCAAGGTGCTTGGAGCAAATTATTGCAGCAAAATACCATTTTATCATCAGTCCTTTGCATCAGAAAAACACCTCCAAATCCAAGCTTTCTGCATCACCTGGCATGGAGAAGCTGGAGCTCAAAACAACTGCTGCTGAGCTACATATGTTGCAGGGTCCTGTTCTCACCAACTGATCCCACCTGCAGCAGGCACATCCCAGGTATGCCCAAACCCACTAATGACTCACTTCTGGCAGGGAGATCACAGCTCACTCCCTGCTCTACAAACAGAGGAGATAATATTCCTGCTTTGTACAGGTGATAAGGACTGCAAATCATTAAACACCAGTTTAAACACAATTTTGGGCCAGGGATGTGATGGAAGATGCAGTATTTTGTGGTGGACAGAGGTATTATCCCATTTCACTCCTGCAGCAGCTGCGCTGGATGAGCTGCCCCAAGAAGACCTCATCAAGCTCTTCCTCAAGGGGAAGGAAGGCTGATTTACTCATTGCACTTGCAACTACTTCGAAGTGTTAATAATTTCTGGGTTTATGTGTTTAACAGGCCCTATGAAGTGTGACAAGGGCCATTGCATTTGCTTAAGTAACCTGCTTCTCATGATTCAATTAACTTGGAAAAATATATAGGAGGTGATTGAAATATCAATTTTGGACACTGTTTCCACTAGGCAGCCAGATAGAAAGTACAGCCCACATTTTAATGAAACAAATCTAGGTTGAAGGCTCAACAAATTCATCTAAACAGCATTAAATAAGCCACATGGGATGGTGCTTTGCTCAGGAAGCTGTTGAATGCTGTAAACCCAAAGAGAGCTGAGAACACCAGTTGTAACATTAGCACAGACTCATGCAGAACAAGGTTATAAATAAAGAGCAAAATGAGGAATTGCCCACATTCCTGTACCAACTCACCATCCCCACCATTTTCTCCATAGGAGAACAGAGCCTAGGCCCCCACAGCTTCAGCACTGCCACATCCCTTGTCCTTCCATCGGGCAGAAATCTTTCTGCTGGGCTCTCAAGATCCTCTTGCAATTGGTTTATCAGAGCGCAGTCACTCCCACTTCTGATCTTGGGGGACATCTCAAGTCTGGCTGAGAAAGACCTCTAAAAGGTCAGAGATTTGGGCTTTGTTTATTATAATCAGGGTCTTCATTTTGACCTTTCATTGGGATGAAGCCTTAAGATTTTTCTGGTTTTGCTGTGTAAGGCTTTGCAGAATTGCTAGCAGAAGACACCAGGAGCAGCTCAGCTGCCTGCAGGCTCCATAACCATCATTTGCTGCCTAACATGACAACTACTACAGTCTGGAAGAGCAGAAATCCAGACTCAAGCTGTTATTCCATCCATGGTCTCTGGCATGGAACACCACCAGCCTCAACAAGATGTGATCATTGTGATAGTCCAGGATGATTTTCCCTGGCAATGCAGCACTGGGTATCAAGTGCTGGTGGTCTCCAAAAGCCTGTGGAGCTGCTCTCCATTGGCACAGGTACCAAACTAGTGCCAGTCCCTGTGCAAACCAAACCCAGCCAGCATGTCAAATAACATCTAGGATGTGAGTAACTGCTTATTCACAGTACAGCTGATTTACAAGGCATGGAGTCTGTCCAGAGCCTCACTGGCAGCCACAGTCTCCCTAGATCATCCTGGAATGTGAGGTGGTGAGTATCACAGTGGCCATAATTGGCTCCTGAGCTCCAATAATCAATACCATTTCCAAGGAAGACAACAAACATTGGCTGAATCCCAAATAGGATTGAACTGCTGCTGCTGGAGCATTATGCAATGCTGTAAATACTGTGAGCTGCTGCTCCTAAAATATCCTCGGGAGGATGCTGGGATGATGATGAGATTCCAGCCCATGGGTCTTTGCAAGCAGCCAAAGAAGTTACAGAGAGCAGGGAAGGAACATTTCCAGGTTTAAAACCCTGATCAGAGTCAGTCTGACAGTGTCAGTCTGCACAACATTAGAAAAACAACATTCTTTCTGCCTACGTTTTCTATCCTGAAGACCCCTCAGTTTCAAACACCCTGCATAGCAGGAGGCACAGCACTGCGAGAGAGCCCTACCTCTCCAAAAGAACACTGGAAAATGTTCAGAATGCCCTGAGAAAGGGCAACACCACCAGAACTTTTTTTCCTTTTCTGCACCTAGTTTAAATGGGTTCACATTTTCATGAAAAGTTTATAGCTAAGGGAGAAATAACTGGAAAATGCACAGTTCCACAGCAGAAATACATTTCACCTACCCACACCAACAGCTGGGTGAGTCCTGTACTACAACCTGCTAATGCCCTTCCCCCCACAAAGACACTCTGATTGTCTTCTGTGGACTCTTGCAACTTCACAGCAATCAGACACCTCTCAGCTTCCAAGTGAAATGTAGATAAACCATGGATTTTTCATAGTGCCTGGTGAGAAATGAAGACCCTCAGCTGGTTTCCTCCTTTGGTGTGGTATGTTGGATCATCTCCTAAGCACTTATCTTCACTCAGAACACAAATTTTTACATTATAGCAGAGTGCTCTGAGTGATGTGTTACTCCCTGGTTTCTTCTGGTACTCTGAATGAACCAATTGCTCATTTGATTCATCACTATGAGACTTATGTTTCCAGCCACAGTTAACTCCAAATATTAAATAACAAAATGAACAAATCATAGTGTGGACTTTCTGATCAGTGCTCTGGCTTTAGAAACCTCACACTGTACTTATTTCACCTATTACAGTTTCCCTCTGCAAAAATGGCAGGGAGAGTCTGGCTTGCACTAAAAAGATAGAGAAAAAGGCTCCTGCAACAGGACCCC